ATCAAACATCTCTTATTAGTCTCCAAATTTAGTTGCAAATTGCATGTGTATGTATAATACAGTACCGGTAAGAAGAATTTCAAATACTGAGAAAGAGGTCAGGAGAGATGGGAAACAGGTATAAGGTGAAGCTGGGCCAAGGTTAGGAGGAGAAAAAATGGATGCAGTTAAAGATTGTGTGTTAAGCAAAATAATGTGGCAAAAAATCACAGGGTTTTTTGTTTGTGTTTTTTGTTTTGGTTTGTTTTTTTAATTCTTCCACATATAAAAACTGCTTGGTGATGTTTTGTGTTTAATTAGGCATACAGAGTTAATCTTATATTTAAAATTATGAAGTATTTGTATTTTCTTCTGTTTTTTTCTTGTCTGTGAAGATGATGCTTAGACTTTATTACCGTATGTCTCAGCTGTTTGCAACATAATGTGAGATGTATAAACTCACTGCATGCGTTACTTAACTGTCTGAAAGGAGTAGGATTTTAAGGATTACTTAAATACTGATTTCTATTTCAGATGAGTTAAGATATCATGGTTAATATATCATTGGTAGTTTTAAATGCATTCATTTATGACTTAGTGACATTCTGTTAATTGTTAGCATCCATGGCTTTCTGAACAGTAATTAGAGGGGCCTATATAAAGCATGGTATATCTGTGCTTCTATAGATCATATTTATTCATAGAAGATCAAGTGATTGCAAAAGTAAACATGCTACAAGATTACAAATCAGTGAGTAAACAAATCTCACTGTCCATGTATATCATGTATGATGCTTTTTTTTATATTTTATTATGTAATCCACAAATACTTTTATACCAATTAATCCCTTTGTTTAAATACCCACATTTAAAAATAACACTTAACACATCGTAATCTACAAAGCTGATGTTTTTGTAAGTTTAACTTCAATATTAACTATTCCATCCTGAAAGATAACAGGAGGATAGCAGAGAGCAAATGACATTTTGCATATGGTTCATTAACTGGCTCTGGCTCCTTGTGCAAAAGAACTGTATGATCAATCATAACCTGGTCAGTCTAGAGCACTGACAATTTTAATTATGAGTGGGGAAAAGTAAAATCGCCATTCTCCTAAAAAAAGGTAGGCAATCAGATCTCTCTCCTGTATGGTTTTCCATGAATGTATGAAAGTTCAGTCAAATAAGAAAAATGAAATAATAAAACCTAGAAAGGACATAAAATAATTTTGACATGAATCTCTTGTAAAAAGCAAGAGTATTAAAATTTTTTAGTCTGGTATTTTTGTGTGTTTAGAGCATTTAGATTTCCATTCAGATGAAAATTCAGGACAGCACACATCTAGGCGAGAAGCTGTTCTGTGAAATTGCATGGCTCTTCATCATGTGTGGTACTAAAACAGTTGGTTTACCTGCTGTTACTTAAACCTCCTTATACCCTTTATTCAATTAAGCTATTGTTAAAAGTTCTTCACACATGCTAAAGATTTAAAATGTAAGTCATACTGATTTCTCAATACATATACATGCAGTCTCTGGTAGAAGGAGAGTTTGAAACACTTGCAAATTTTGAGGGGTTTGTTTTGTTTTAACAAATAAGTAGCTGAATATATATGCATTTTTTCCCCAAAAGTGATGGTAATGCTTATAATGCTCTGGTGTCTTGATCCCTTATTAAAATTTAGGTGGAAATGGAATAAGAAATCAGTGCAGAGGAGAATGCTGCCTGTTACTGAGGCATTTAAATTTCAGAGCGGATTTTTTTATCTTACAGTCTATAACTTACTTCTTAAAAGAAATGGAGGAAGATAAAATTACTTTAGTAAAGGCTTCTGCTGTCAAAATTACTTTGGATTTCCCTTTAATGGTTTTCTGTTTCTGAGCTGAGGATGTAGGTTGTTAAGGATTTGTTAGAAAATAGTAAAGCTTCCTGTGCGTTGTTTCCATTATTATATTTATGCTATTGTGTAAAATGATATTTTATGGGTGTTTTTGTTACACAGGATTTTCTCTGTGAACCAGAATGCCCTTAATTTCATCCTGGAGTTCACAAACTGGAAGAGGCTTCCTCCAGCTGTAGAGCAAGACCTTTCAGACTACAAAGAGAAGTTCACTTGGGCTCCCAAGAGCCATTTTGGTAAGCAGTACAGTTAGAAAAAAAAAAAGTCTCCATGTATGCCAGCTTCCAGGCTGGAAGTGGGAAGCAGCTCTGTGTGGTAATGCACAATGGCAGAGAAGGTTCAAGAGCTGATAAGACATTGCTTGTCCAGAAACTGGGGAGCAGAAATAGCAGTCACCCTAAACAAACAAACAAAAAAACAAAGCATATTTGAATGAATTTTACTCATTACATTGTTCAATTCAGAATGAGCATGTTTCAGGTAGGTGTTATCAGCTGAGGTTATTTTGTCCACTTCAAATTCATGCACGTGCTATAAAACATGGGTATAAAACTGTAAATTAGTACTGTGCCATCCTGAAATTATTTGTTCAGCCTCTTGGAAGATTTAAGAGAAGATGAGCAGTATTACTTGGTTATATTTTCTAGACAATACCCTACAGATTTTTTTGATTTTTGTTTTTTTTTTTAAATTTGATTTGTATTTCCAATGAAGTGTCTAACTTGTTCTGTAAGCATTTGACAGTAATTAAAATACAAACCATATAAATCATCATATTAATTTACCTACAAATCTAGCTGTTCATTGTCACTCCTGCAGTCAAAATGTAGTCAGCCAAAAAGATTTAATAATTGATTGTCCAGGAAAACACTAGTGCTCACTGCATTCTCCCTTCAGAAAAGCAGCTTTGACATACAGGTCGTGCACTGTGGCCTATGCAGTACGTTACTGAAAAATCGCACTCAGATGTCTTTTTAGTCACTCATTTCAAAGCAAATTCTTCTTTAAAAGGATCTGTAATAATTTTTAAAATGTCTAAGTGATGATGTTATTAAATAATAATTCCTTTTGAACATTTGAAGCTAATTAGGATATCTTTTTGGGGGGAAATTTAGATGAAGTTCTTTCTTTGTTTCCTTTGCTATTAATAAATATATTTGTGTTGTAATAGCATCCAGTAGCTAAAGCTGAAGAGAGAAAGCAGAGAGGGAAAAGCAGCGTGTGGGGGAAGTTTAAAAGTTTGCAGTTTTTAATTCTTTCAGCCAGGACAAGCAGGCCAGCTGCTGTGCTGAGAGGCAGGCTTCCCCACTTGAGAAATACCAAGCACTTGAACTGAGATAAGCTGATCATGTGAGCGAGCATAGGAAATAAAAATGAAGGGTTCGTGCAGAAAGGTTCAAGAACTGGTGTTGACAAAGTACGGTCCTGTGGAGTTACACACCTGCCGTACTTACCCTTCTGTACTGAAATACAGAACTTACTGCAGTTAGTATTACAGGTTCCTTGTGAGTAAAATCAATGCAGAAGCCACGCTAGGAGAGTTTGGAGGCTCCGGAGTTCTGTATCAGCATAAGTTGATCTATAATGTGAAAGTCTGCGTTGGAGCAAGTGCACATTTACAGACATGTTTGTGTGTCTTTTCGCACAGTTGTTGTCCTAAGTCAAGTTATTTAGCAACATGTTAGAACATTTGGCCTCACATGCCAACTGAGTCATGCTATCATTTAATACGTATCCTGAAAGTGGTTTTTCTTGTGTTATTTTGTTGCTGGATTTACTTCTAGACTTAATTTTTCATTTCTTGTAAGGTGGCATGAGCCTCTCTCTCCCCAAGAAGGTAGCTGTTCTAGGCTCGTTAGATGAAACTTTCTGATTAAGGATAAAATTAATCTTTGGCACTTTGTTTCTAGAAGTTTAAGGTAATTTTTCTAGCTCCTCTAAGGAAACTGCAAAAATGCTGATTCTAGCAGGCAACAGCCCTTCACTATTGAGAACTCTGCCTGGTTATCTGCCAGAGACTGGGTGGGGGTTCAGATGGGATCCAGCTAAACCAGGTAACTGCAGGCAAGCAGTGTAATCTCACGGTGTCCTGTTCAGTGACTTGGTTTTTAATTCCTCAGCCTTCATGCCTTCCCTGTCTCATCTTTGTCGCCTTGAGATCCGGTCCATTTTAAGGAGCGAACGCCTGCGATCGGACCAGTTTATCCGGGAATTGCCACTGCCAGCTTGTCTCCAAGACTATCTTCTCTACTTCGATGTACTGCGAGTCAACGCTGTCCTAGGAGTGGAGAATTATCTGCGGCAGAGAGAGGAGGCAGCTCCCTCTACCAGTCACTGCAGCGCTGAAGGTGCAGGGAGGGAGGACGCCTGTAGCGCCGGTGTGAGGTGAAGGCCCTGACCGCGACTGAACTCTGTGGCTGCAGATTTTGTAATGGCAATTAGCAGACACTACTGTAAATAACCGTAGTGAGAAGTCTTTTCATGCTGTAGTTTTATACTGTATCTAGAAGTTTGTTAGAAGCTCGATGATTTATGATGTTTAAAAAGTCTGTTGTAGCATTTTCTGGTTTTTGAAAGGAAATTTTTAAACTCTTACGGAGTAAAATGAGCTTGTTCAATGAACATGGCTTATATAGTGGTTGGAATCTGTTTGGTCAGACACTGTTATTAGACGCTTTATTCTAAGTATTGCAAATACCAAATGAAATTATCTGAAAGTCAAGGAAGACAATATTGTATTATTGTTACAAATTTATGTGTTGGGGGAGATAGGAAAAAATATAAGAAAGGAAACTGTTTGCTGAAGGAACAGTGATTTGTCTTTTTTTTTTTTTTCCTTTCCTTGGAAAAAATATTTGGTGGAACGTTGGAGTGGGAGGCTGGCTCGGAGCCTGCACCCAGTCCCTCTCCTTGCGTTGCCCATGGGCAAGGCATGAAATGTCCCCACAAGCACACCGACATGACACCGTGGTACAAAAATCCCTCCTTCAATGAAGAGAAAAAGCAACCGCTGTCCCCACGGGGTGGGTGACAGAGCTGGGGCAGGGACACCTTGGCGGAAGACAGCTGCATCCCTTGCACTGGGAAAGCCCTCATCCTGCAGAGGCGAAGCCGGCGCTGTCACTGGTAGTAGATGCTGAAGGCGTGGAGGATGTACAGGAAGCTCGTGATGAAGGCAAAGAACTGCGCAAGAGGAAGAAGAGCAAAAGCTGGGGTCAGCTGGGAGGGTCTTAACCCCATCTCCACTCAGTGCTCTCAACCTGGGGAAATCTCCCAGCCTACAGCTCTCTCCAGCCTTAAAGAAGAGACAAAGTCCCCCACGTTTCCCAGGAGGCAGCCACACAAGGCTGTCCATGAGCTGCTGGACTCTGAGAAGCCCACACTGGCTGCACAACACAACAGAGACAAGAAGCTGAAGCTCCAACGTGTGTGACACAGCTGGGCTTGAGATGGCTCTGCTGTGGCTTTCGTATTTGCTCCTCCATCTCCCCCAGAGGAACTGCAGGCCCTCTGCCCTGCCTGGGTTTTCTGGACCAACTCACCGATGCGGCGCTGTTGAGCTGGTAGTAAAGCGGCGAGTTGGGGCCGGACTCAGAGCGGATAGTGGCGTTGGCTTGCAAGACAGCAGCGCTCAGGTACAGGATGGCTGTGGCGCCGTGGTACAGACTGTCCTGCAGAACAAGGGAGTGGCAAGGATCAAAGCTTGGCTGGGGCTGTCCTTCTCTGATTTGCCCTGAGGACGAGGTCCTCATCCTCTGCACATGTGAGTGCTCGAATGGGACACACACAACCAGACACCGCCGGGACCGAACCCTCGCTGTGCCGACCCCTTCCTGTGCCCACACAGCGCTCCCGGCAGAGCACAGCTCCCCCCAGCACTCCAGTCGAGGCAAAAGAAGGAAAGGGACGGTTGTTGGCAGAAGGGCTGGCAGCTGCCTGGCTAACCCATCACCAGCCATGGTGGTCTTGCACCCCCCACTGCTGCTACCAACATCCGCCAGTGTCCCAGCCCCTCCTTACCAGCACTTTCCAGTTCTCGCTGTTTTTGTGAAAGCCGAAGATGTAGCTTAAGAGGAGCAGCAGGGAGATGAGGCAGGAGCTGAGGGACACGTACATCACCCATCCCTGCAGCAACGGGAAGGAGACGGAGGTAGCAGCGACGAGGATCCACACCCAGGTCCCACAGAGCTGCCGGGGGCAAACACAGGCACCTTGGATGAGTGTGGGATGGGGAAAGCTCCTTCTTCTCCCCGAGTCCCTCCTCACCTCCCCCTGGGGCCAGCCCCAGCGGCTGTGGGAAGCCCTGTGTCTTTGGGCAGCGTGCACCAGCCTCCTGGAGCATCCCAGCATGACAGCAGCACCATAAGCTGGCACGAGTTTCCCCGAACGTCCTTGGGAAATACTTACAAAAGGGAAAGGTTTGCTGCTGTGTTTAATGATGTGAGGAAACGTCTCACCCTGAGGGCTTTGGCAGAAAAGCCAGAAAATGTGCTTTTATCTGGGGAAGGCGAATGTCAGCCCAGCCCTGCCCGCTCGCTAATCTCCTGGGCTTAAAATCACGGCAGGAGGAAGTCTCCTCCTCACTCCATGCACCAGCCCAGAGTCTGGAGTCGCTCGCTCTGGATCCACCTAAAATATTTACCATGCACAAATAGCACGCGGGATGATCTGGATAAGCTCATGTGGCCCTGTCCCACTGGATGAAACCCCCCAGATTTGCAGTGGGGAGACTGAGCCCACTGGCACAGGCAGCTCACGGCAAAGTCCAGCCACAGCAATTGCAGCCGTGGAGCGTGGGTGGTGTGGGTCACCGGCGCTGTCATGTGTCAAAGTACAGCAGCAGTTATCTCAGCCAGTGCCACCATATGCCCTCTGGACCCATAAGCAATTGAAAGGTTCATGGAATGTCACACTTTCCAAGACACACAACTGCCTTCAAGCCCTTGGAAAGACTTAATACAGAGAAGGAAATTCCCTTGATTTTCAATCAATTTCTAGGCAATAACTAAAGCTGCTTCTGCCCTGAAGGCACTGGCAGCTCTTCAGCCTCTCAGCCCCACAGCAGCCAGCGACCCTCGCACCGGCTCTGGGATGGAGCTGGAGTGTATCTTGTCCTCAAGCTGTTCCAACGAAGACCACCTGTGTGCATTCAGTGTAAGCTAAAAGAAAAGCCACTGTTTCCCATTAATGCCGTCTTGAGGATTGTTTTGGGTGCTGCTCCCAGGTTTTAGATTCGCTAGAGCCATTAGTGGGGTGGTGTAACCCAGCAAAGCGCAGCGTACTCACTATCTCTGGCAGGATGAACGCGTAGGGGATGGTTTTGAAGACAGCGGGTCCGGAGGGCAAGGCGGGTTGTGTGGAGGCTGCAGGGGGACCCACTGAGGCCATCTCTTCTCAGCTGACGCCACAACTGCTCCAGCTCAGCTCCACTCGCATGTGTCTGCACCGTGCCGCTCCCGTGCGGGGTTTTAACCGACACACCCGCGGGGACGTAATCACAGAAACCAGCCCAGGCTGGCACCGCGCCGCTTCCTCCGGCTGAAGGAGCCCTCAGCAGCCCTCCGGTTATTGCGGCTGGCTTTACACATCCTGCTGCCAGCACTGGGACAGGAGAGCAACGGGACCCTGGCCCCACCACCAGCACATGGGCAATTTAGTGTCTTTAACAAGAGGGGAAGGGAGAAAAAAAATCCTACACCACACCAGGGCAGAAATGTTTCCTGTAATCCGTTTTTGTCCTTGGCACATTTTCAAGCCTGAAATATTTTTGCTTCCGCTGTTGTTGCCTCCTCCCTTTCTGTTCAGGTTTCTGCTCTGTGTTCACATCAGACTCCCCCACACCCACCGGACACATCCAGCCTTCAAACACTTGCAGCCAAACATTTTTTCACAGACAACTCAATACATTGGTAAAAGATGGGAGGGTTTGACTGAATGCTCCTGCGTGCCCTGAAAGGTCTGAAGGACAGCTACTGGGACAGCTTTGATTTCTACCTCCTGGCAGATGCACTTTGGATTTGACAAGCACGTGCTGTTTTTTCCAGAGGACTCTGCCTCACCCCATAACTCACTGGTAACTGGTGGGATGAAAAGCTGAAGGTGTCATCTCTGCCTCATGGCCTAGTGAAGTCATTCAGTCCTCTCTAACTCAGGCAATGCTCTGCAGCAGGAAGACGATGATCCTATTAAGATATCGTAGCTCTCTGTTAGGAGAGCCAAGTGATGCCCTAGGAATTTGGCTTCTATGTCCAGTTCTTGTGCAGTACAAAGCCAAGATCAAATCCACGATGTTTCTCATCCCTAGGCCAGGGGAAGTGCTTTGCAGCATTTCTGGAGGCTCCAGTTTACAAATGCTGTCAGTGGGAGCTGGCTTCAGGCTCCATGCAGTGTGCTGTGGTCTCCGAAAGACCTTTTAATGCATTTTGCACCAGACAAAACTAGAGCATGGCTTGGACTTCAATCCACGTGACTCAGCGACCACCTACCTTGTTGGACACGGTGGCAACACACCCATCACCATGCAGAAAGCATCCAGACACTCCAGCTCAAAAGAGAAATCAGAGTAATAGCTTCCCACTGGGAAGGGGCAGCACACACGTCCTGTGGTTTCAAACTGCTCAGGAAAAAGAAGCCTTTAACATCCTGGTCCACCTGAGGAACACCCACAGCTCCGTAGCCTAAGGAAGTCACCACAGAGGGAGCTACCATATGGCAAAGCCACGCACAGGGGAAACGGAACATGCCCTGAATTCTCACCAGCTCTTATTTGTATTAGGTGGGTCAAACACATTCCTATTAATAACCCAACCTCTTCCTGAGTGGGAAAGAAAAACAGGCAAATGCAGAGCAACCTGCTGTCCACTCATTGGACAAGAGATGATTTTTTTTTCCCAACCTGGCTGACCTTGCTCAGCAGCATTCTTAAAAATCACTGCTATTTTCCTTGCCTCTTACCAGTCTGCTGGGGTATTGTGACAAAGAGTCTTTTGTTCAGCCTGATTAAAACAAAACTGGAAATTAATTGGAAGCTGCCTGAAAGGAGAAAAGTGCTGCCTCAGCATTTTCTCTGTTTATGCAAAATATGATACTCAATGTGGCTACAACAGGTACATGTAGCAACAGACAACCATAGCCTTTTCTAACATTGCAAAGGGGAAAACTTAAGACAATTCCCATTAGTTAAACTGATAAAATGATTTTAGTTTCTTAAAATGTTATATCTGACTTTTGATGTTAGATACGTTATATCAATGTTAGATATAACATTTTGAGACACTAACATTATTTTTGTTAAAATGTTAAAATATTCTTTACAATTCAGATAGTACACAGTTTATTTTTTTTTTTTAAGAATTTATTTATATTGTTACCCCATTCTTACGTAGCCGGTATTGTTCTTCTATAATCCATTCATACTCCAGGATTGTTTTTCCTCACTTCTCCTAAGAAATCGTAAGCCAGCTCTGAGATATCAAAGGCTTTGTGAGTGTTCTCTGACGACAGCAGATATTGAAGTGCACCATCATTCTCTCGGCTCTTTTTCAAAAAGTCAGCCATCACCTTCCAGCGAGATGCTTCCGACTCCTCCTCAGCCCACTTGTAGTCAGGGAGGAAGGTGGACTGGAGGAGCGGGAAGACAGAGTCGTGGTACACCAGGACAAACAGAGACTTCAGAAATTCTCGATCTCTCTGCAGAGAGGAGTGATTTGAAAATATTTCAGTGCAAAATACGCAGTGTGGCCAAGGGTTTCTCTAGAAATATTGTACACAGGAAAAAAACCAAACAAACAAAGAGGAAAACATTCAACTAATGCCCAGTTCTCAAGATAACAACAGGAAGAGATTTGACCTTCCTAAACAAACATCATTTAGCTCAGATGAGCCTCAAACTCACCACTATGTAAAGTATAAATCAACAAATCTGCTCTCCAACCCACCTACTTTTCCAAAGAACAAAGAGCAGCATATGCAGCCAAACAAAACAGCAATCTGCAACGCTCTCTGAGAGCCCTTTGCTCACAGCGTATTTATATTTCTTCTTAAAAATGCCAGCATGTGACAGCTGTTCCCCACAGTCTCTGAGACTGTTTGCCATGCCCGCTGGGGAAGTGGCACATCCTCCCCGCCTTGGAAGCTCAAACTCCACTGGTTTCTCCACGGCCCTAGGCAGAGAGTTGCACCAATCCCACGCTCCTCACAGTACAGGGCTCTTCGCAGGAGGTAAGGCCACACTGTAAGTACTGTTATTTCACACTCTGACACGACATTCTGTGTGTGGTGAGAATTATGCCCTCCCCTGTAAAGACCAGTTTGCAAAACTCAGAGACTAAGAATCAGCCTGGTCAATTATCAAACACTGAAAGATCCTGACCACTTTAATTAGACAAGATTTGTGTGCTTCATTTTCCACGTGCACACTAGAAAAACCCCTTCATGCAAGGACGCACACAGAGCGCTGTCTCCTGGAAAACCCAATGACCACTGAGATTCTTCCAGGAATGTTCCAGAAATGTGAGTGCTATGACTGGCATTGAACAGTCCACTTCTCAGCAGGAGATTTAGCAGCTGAACATCTTGTAACCAGTGTAAGGAGGAAGAATTCACCAGGCAGCAATCCTACCGTGGGAGTGGCACATGACAAATCAGGTAAAACTGGATGGTTCTGGGATACCGAGGAGTCACTCTTTAAGCAGATCAGCTTTCATTTTGGATGAATGGCCTTGAAAAAGTGATTCTGACTCAACAGCATTTTGTTTTGTTTGCGTAAATGGGGAGAGCTCCTTGTGTATCTGTTCAGTAGCATGTAAAATAAATGAAATACCCTGCTGCTGCTCTTAAGTGAAGTCTCTTGGATCAAGAGCCTTCCTCATTCAGTTACTTATGGGCTTCTCTTTGTCCAGAGGATAGGTGGCAGGACAAGGTACGGTTAAGCCTGGTGACATGGCCAATTCAGTTCTTTTACAGCTGTCTACATGCCAAAATGGGAGATTACAACTGTCTGAGGTAGTAAGATATGCAGAATTGGGGGGCCTTTTTCCAGGCAGACTGGTGGGAGGACTGGAGCTCAGAGGCTGGAGGAGGAAAGATTATTTTGTGGACAGACACAGCCCCTTTTGTACCAGTGGGAAAACGTTTACCAGTCCAATATTGGAAGCATATAATGAAAGGGAGCCACATTTTGGGTGTGAACCTGTAATAGCTTCCCCACTAACAGCCATTTACAAACACTGAGACAAAAAGTTACAAGTTAATTCAATATTCCTTCTTCTCCTAGTTCACTGTTATAAATATTGGTAAGAAATGTTAAACTGCATTCAGCTATCTACATTTTCTAAATAAATGTATGGTGAGAGGAAAAGTTAACTACCAATAACACTGACAGAAAGCTTCTAGTTTGAGGTAGATTGAATATATGTCAAAGAAAAACCCGTCATTTATTACCTTCTCAGATCTCTTCAACATTCTTCCTCTATCTGCCCAAGCGCTCTAAAAATAAATGTAAAATCAGAGTGAGATTGTGGAGATCTAAAGCACTTCCCATTTTTAGCTGCAAAAATCTCTCTTGCTGCAGTCCCACAGTAGTTTAAGCTCCTGCTGCAGTCCCATTTTCCTCACACTCCCCATTCCTCCCTTGTGCCAGTTTAGCTGATTTAAGCAAACAGCCATTCCACCATATTTTACAGATACGAAGAGTTGGAGATTTGAAACTATATCAGAGCCATATAAATGAAACCAAGGGGATCCACTCTTCAGAAAAATCAATCACAACCAAGGTTGATTTTTTTTTTTTCTAACCTACAAGCATGGAGAAATAGAGCCTAAGCCCAAAGGTTGCCAGCTTCTAACAGCAGTGTCCTTCAGGCAGAAATAACTCAGCTGTTGTTGTCTGGTACTAGGACACCTGCGAGGGACTGCAGCGTAAATCCAGTGAGCACTGTCCTGTAACTGCCAGTCAGAAGCTAAGTCAGCTCCTACCTGTCATGAAAGCAGCGCTGTCCTAGAAGCCAGACATTCAGACAGCTAATCCACCTGAGCACTCACAAGCAGTGCTCAAACTAGCCAATTCATGTCTTTGCATCCCTTCTGAAGGTACTCAAGTGTTCTCTTGCAGTTTTGAAGGCACTAAGACATGAGAGATCTGCATGTACTTGAAACTATTATAACTTTTTTGCTGTTTGGCTTTTCCATTTATCTTTTTACAGGATAAAAATAGCTGAAATGTGGCAAACTATCTGGAAATCCTGACACATCAGATGGCATCAAACACGATGTAGGTAGCGTACCCGAAGTGCATCCATAAGGTCTGGCTGATCCATGAGTTGAGGGAAAGTTGCTAAAATAGGATTACAGATTAAATCTGAAACAGAAAACAAACACATTCAAGCCTA